AATGCACTGTAACGGCGCATTCAAAATTAGTCGTTAGTTTCTTAGAGAGCAGTTTCGTAGGGCGACATTGTTACCCGTTGAAGGTTATAACAAGTGGAGTACAACTGTTAGCTCGGGGTTTTTAACGTGCATTAGGCAATATATGTGGTACACAATCCCCCGACGGTATACGATGCAGATGGGCGACTGAACTCAGAGTCTGCTAAAGCCCCTTTATAAAGGTGTTTTTTTTATAAGTACCGCCAACCATTGTTGTGGAAACGTGCAAGACCCGCGCCACGAGCGGGTGCTCCGCCGCCATTGGCTTTCAAGGACCAGTCATTTTAGTGCTGCGCCGCCTTTTGCTTTCAAGGGCCGCTTGAGATACGGGCCTCGTGCACTGGCACCTTTGAGGTTATTTGAAAAACCAACAAAAACACATTGAGGGGATTTAGTCCCTGCAGGCTTTGCGACGTGAGCTTTGTGCTTTGAACGGAGATCGCGCTCGAGCATTTCTCCACGTGCTCTGATCTGTGGTGCCACAACAGACTCGGCCAACGATCACTCACCTTACTTGGTTTAGCCTGTGAGCTAAACCAAATGAGCTACGCTTACAGTATTCGCGCTTTTCCCCCCGATATTGTTGTGGGCGCCGTTATCTAGATCAAACGCAACTGCCGGTCGTCATGATTGAAAGATGCGACTTCCTCAGCATTAGTTTCGGGGTCAGGAAGCTCACGTAATATTGCTTTGCTTTGTCGCGAACTGTTTAAACATTTGTGGAGGACGAAAAAGCGTTTCCTGTGATTTCAGATAAAGCTTCAGATAACTGACAACCATCATTTTAAGCCCCAAGATGTGTATAAACCGTAGCTTATTAAGTGGCTCTGGTTTAGCCCGACCGCATAGGCACAGAAAGAAAACGGACAGCTTGACCCCGCGCTCTTGGTGCTGCTTCACTGGTTTAATCAGCCCATAGTGTTGGTTGTGCTCCAAACTAAAGTGAAGCAAAGCAAATACTCAGATCTTAGGGTTTCACAAGCCAACCCAACAAAAATCACTTAACACGGCCCAATAAAAAAAAAAGAAATTGCGCGTTTATTTTGAATAACTGGAGATCTTTTGACGTGCAACCGAAATCTCAGATCGGCCTCCGTCGGATTGCGGGCACCTTGGCTGATATTTAAACCCGACAAATCTGGATTCATTGGCCAGGGCGTTGGCTCAGAGACACTGAGACGATTTGATGTTTTGTGTTTTGCCTTAATATTATTGCCACTTAAAAGCCACCTAGATGGTTTTTAAACAAAATATAGTCAAACCATACCGACAAACATAGTTTGATAGCGGAAATGATTGTTGCAAGTGATAAAAACATTAAAATGTTTTCGCATACGTGGCGGAATCTTAAATGGCAGATTGCATTTCAAGGCACTTATTTCATTTGGATGGCGTCGGGCGTGTGTACCGACGCACAGTGGAACGCGCGCAAAAGTAGCTGCGGTGCACCCGCAGCCTCGCGCTTGTTGTTCTGTCATTTCTGGTTCGCTCACTGCGTGCATCGAAGCATCTGACACCCCAACATCTGGCGTTTTTTCTGTCTTTCACGTGGCGTTACAAGCGGCACACGACGGAAAATGCACATCAAGCTGTTCTTGAACACGTGTCGCCATCTGTACTTTATACTAAGAAACTATGATTTATCGTAACTGAATGGGAAAAGTTTGAGGTTTTATAACATCCTTAACGTGTAATACATCAATATGGAAGTTCTGAAAAATGTCATATCGAAGCATGCTTCAAATTTAATGTCTCGTTATTTTGATCAGTTAACGTGATTCTGTTTTTATAAAGCCATAAAACAATACCATTTTAAGCTTTATTTTTAGTTCAAAATATACATTATCTGTACAGGTTCTTGTTTACTTTTTTTTTTAATTTATTGCATCCAACCAAACGCTCACGTAAAATATCGTGGACGATGGGACGTTATAACCCGAGAAATATTTTTTTCAATATCAGAAACTGTTTTCTATTAAAAGCTCTATAATTAACTAACAACTAAAAATAAACGTGATATCGAGACATTAAATTATTGTTTAAGAACCTCCCTTTAATTTGAAATTAACTTTACAATTGCAAGATATATAGAAAGAAAGTTATAAGCCGTCAAAAAAGCACCGAAACGTCATGCACGGTGGGGTTGCACCTTAGAACGTCGCAAGAAGCTTAAAAACCGGTCTGGTCTCTCTCGGTCTAACTCGGTTGCATATGTGTAAACTTCGCTTTAGAGCCAATTTTATTCTCTAACTGTCAACCGCCTCCTCTCCAAACCACGGAGACACAAATGGTTTGATGAAAAATACAGCAAAACATTATTTAAAGGAATAAGCCGAATGTCGTTAGGTCGCTCAGAACTTCAAAGCAGCGCCGCTCCGCGGAACAACAACGGCAGGCCCTTTTGATCCGGATTTTTCTTCTCTCCCGGCCTGTTCAGCTCCCGCGGGGAGCGGGGATGGGCAACTAAGACGTGCAGGTTTTAACGGGTTCATAACACAAAGTGGCGGGGCTCATAACCACGCCAGCCCCCAAGCAGCTTTGCCCGTACTGAGCCAATTGACGTCAGGTATGCCGAGATGCATCGCGCTCTCCGATGGCCGATCTTCCAGCGATCGCTGGAACGGAACCTTTGAAACTACAAACGCTATCCGATCGAAATGCGAACATGCGTCTGTCATTACCAGATAGATTTGATCACGTTGAACGTATTTCTAAACGTGACAGGTATATTTTAGTTTTCGATTCCGTGTCCCTTTAAAACGCCGAACTGGTAAGGACTATAAATGGTAATGCGAACAATGTAAAAACCAAATTACTTGGAAACAATAATTCTTTCCTTTTTCAAATTAAAAGGTTGAAAATGCCCTGAGTGGTCTCCCTCTCGGCGTATTCGCGACAACATGTCGCCAGACCGATTTCAGCGTTCTGACCGGTGATCACTTCTGTGCACCAAATTTCAGTGCCGGCAGTACAAAACGGACGATTAAAATTCCAGTTAGTGTGATAGCTACTGGACGGGGACGGCATGATAATGCCCAGGCGAGTGCGTGGCTTAGAAGGCCTGCAGTGCCATCTACCAAAAGAAAGATCAACCATTATCGAAGTCTGAGTGGCAGTTTCTATCTTTAATGCGAAAGCATTAAGTGGGCTCATGGAGCGATCTGGCTTTATTTTAGCTTGAAGCCGGCGTTATCATTGTCTAGCAGCGATAAACGGCACCCAAGTTCCCATCGGCTACGACGCGTCATATGGCTAGCACCGGCGTCATCGTTGCGAACGAGCCTGCCGATGCGCTGGCGGTGCAGCGCAAATAGTAAAAGACGTCAAAAAAAAAAAAATGTTGCACATTTCGGTTTGGGTAGGAATTCAACCCGGGCCTCCGGGTTCCGAGACGAGCACGGTTCCCCGACGCGATGGCGGCCTCAGTGTCCGGCTAACTAGAGCTGTGCCTAGTGCGTGCGTCGTGCTTTCGCATTCATTTTTTTTTGTGTCACTCCCAGTTTCACGTGCTGTTGCTCAGTTCATGCAGTTTTCCACGCCAACTGTAGAGGCTTTCCGCGACAAAAAGCAAAATCAAGCACGGATGAAACCACCTAATGGGCAGCTAGTGTCATCATTTGTCGGGTGCTTGATAATAACTTTGCGGATGAAAGACGACCAGCGTTTCTCTATGAAATAAGCTACAAATTCTTATCCTGTTCTTCCCACGGCCTGATCAAGCAACTCATAATCACTGCACATTCAACTCTCAGTCCCTCGCTTTCACCTTTTGTATTGGAGTGCCTCACACTTAATCAAACACAGTGTCGAAATCGGTGTTGACTCCGCAAACGATCGCCTATTAGGTGTGCAGTAACCATCTCTGGTAGGGACAAAAATCAAACAGCCACTCAAATGCCCCTCGTACACTCAATAGTCTCATTGACAGTTCAGCTTTCTTCCGTTAGATGGCAGTGGAGGTTTTCAGAGCCACGCAGTTGACCTGGGCGTTTTCATATCATCCGCGACACCCTTCCTACGCTTATCACCCAGGCGAAAATCGCTGAGTCACTACGCCGTGGACACGTTCGCAGCGACTGATACTCCACAAAAGATGTCTATAAGATAGTTTTAGGGAACCGTTTTCGCACATCCAATACGGTACGATGCGCCCTCCAATATGAACTGCGCCAGTAGAAAATTGTAGTAGACCGTTTTTTTTCCGCTACGGTATCCCTGAAGAAAACGGCGCAGCTGCGCATGCCCACCGCCAGCCTTATCTGCATAGTTTAAGGCCTTCTGGCGGAATACGGAGCGCTCTCCGGGTGCTTAGCGCGCTGCGGAAACGGTCTACTACAAATCCCCATTGAGTCTATTCTGGAGCAGCGCACGTGGAGGTCGTACCGGAAGGCCTACCGTACCGCATCGAACGTGCGAAAACGGTTCCCAAAAACTCTATAATATTATTGATGTTCAGAACGCGTGGTAGAGTCAAGAAGAGAAGGTTGGCATGGGCGTAGAAGCCGCATATTATAACGGCCTATAGGCGGCCCTTAATCCAACGCGTTATTACGATAAGGTCAGAAGTCGCTCCACCTACGCCTATGTGCACGCATCGTATCATAAGCGGGTATAGTGGTAGGAGTGCAATTAAGATCTACTAAAACATCCGAATATAGCCTTTCTGGTCGTGACCAAGGTCTCAAGTCGTCTGGCAGCGTTCGCGGCCAAGATCAAGTTCCTTTGCGGCGCAGCGATTCTTATCGGCTTTCTGATAAAGACGTGGCTTGTGTGCACTGCAGAGATAAGGCGACAGACAAGGATGCTGGTCTAACGAGGGTAAAATCTGCGGAAGTAAACGGTCTTGTTTTCAGGCTAGATAAGACGATGCGCATGGAGTGACTTTCGTGACCGTTCGACTGTACTTCATTTGTGCCAGTTTAGTATTTGCACGCGCAAGTTTGCGAAGCCGTATCATCCCACTCGTGCGAGCATGGCAACCGTTCTTTTGGTTGTAGTGACACTCCTGGCACTGGCGTGGCTGATCGCGTGAGTGTTGCTTCTTTTCGAGATTTCGGAATAGACCCTTTACAAGCATCACGGCCATCTGGTGGCTAAAAAATAGTGTCACTTTCGAAGAGCTAATTGCGGTCACGAAGCTGTATTTCATCGGACACCATCACTTTCGCGTGTCACTGGCAGATAAGAATTGGTTCCTTGATCACATCATAATTCTTTTTGCTTCGTTTCAGTTTCTGTGGTGTGGACGTAAGAAGTGACTTTTACAAAGCGGTTACCAATTAGAACCTTGATTATAATTTCATCAACAAAATGCTTTAAAGGCAAGCTGGAGGGGTTCTGTTTTTGAGTGAAACCCATTAATTTGTTATTTGGCCTCCAGGATTACGAATATTGGCATTATTTTTTTTTTTCATTTAGTAGCGCGGAGGCTGGACAAAATTATTCCCAAAGTACAACTGAAGCCCCTTCTTCCAGGAGTGTCATGTCATAAAAGATATTTTCGGAATCTCCGCTCTCGCGTATCTTCAACGCCTGCTACGCGCGCGCTCTGGTTATTTTCAAGAAGGTCACAAAAGGACGTTTCGACCGGTATCACTGCAGGGGAATATACCTGGCAAGCTTGCAACTGCACGCGCTGCCCACAAAAGTGCCACGCGCTTGGATGTAACGACTGGTCGGAGGTTTTTTGCGTTATCTTGCATTCAGTTACATATTCGGGGACATAATGGCTGTCCTTTCGATTGCTGCGATCGCGACCGACACCAACGCATAAAAAGCAGCCTTTAGAGCCAAACTTGTGGCAAGGAATTGATTGGACACCACTCCGAAATAAACGCTAATACAGCCAATGTAACTAATTCGTCCATTGTGTTTTACCGATGTCTAGAAAGTATAGACCTCATAAATCCTCCCTTTGACAGTATTTCCAGCTTCTTCCTTCGTCAGCCTCGAGAAGGATGTCATTAGTTTGGCATAGATTCCATACACTGAGATGATGATTGTAATAAAGGTGGCCGGATTGAATCTGAAAAGAATCCATATACCCTTCCCCGAAGGCCGCGGGCAATCTAGTACCTGTCGCGATAAGTATCCGAGTACGCTATTTTGTGGGCACGGCCTATGCGCCTATGTTCGACACGTAAACTTTGTCACTGTTCGGTGTAAATTCGACTCGCTCGTATTTGAAGTGAGTGCTGCTTCAGAATTCAGCGAGTACTCCGTTCAAACCGCACTCTTCTTGCCCAAGACCATGCGTTGCTTGATGGGGTTTTGAAAAGTGTCTATGCGGAGGGCACGTTTTGTCTGCTTCTTTTGCAGGGGTTGTGGTGACGTCAGAACGCCAAGCCCTGATTGGCTCTGATGAAAGAAGAGTGGGTAGAACTCTAAGCAAACTGCCTCGAGGTCTACACACTATCCTTCAATTAGAGCCAGTCAGAGCTCGTCGCCGTTCTGTGGTCACCACAACCCTTGCAAAGGAAGCAGACGAACTTTCGCCCCGCATTGCGTTCTGTCTCACTGCTTGCTGTCGCGTTTTGGAGCTTTGTCTCTACTGCCTTCAATATGTGTCCAGCGTTAGGGCCGTTTCACTTTTGTAAGCCGCCGCTTTGAGTCTTACACACTGATATTTATTTATCGCACCCTTAAAGGTCCCATCATGGCTTTTCTGTATAAGGGCCCGCAAAGCTCACATAAAGGCGCAAAGTAAGCTAAGCTTCAAAGTCACGACAGTTCAGCCATCTGGTGCTAAAAATAGCGGACACCTGGTATTCGAAGCTTTAACTGAACATACAGGTGGGAGGCACTCACTTGATCGAATGACGTTTTAGCGAACGCCCACGTTTCATCGAATGACACTTTAGCGAAGAGTCGGACGCCGCGAAGCGGCGTTTTTGGGTGGGCCAAGTGAGTTCATATTTTTGTAATAAGTTGCCGCAGACTGTCGCCGCGAAGCGGCGTAAAGCGCAGCGCGACGGATGGGTTAACGCGCGTCCCCGTTATTCGCTTAAACGACCATTCGCTCAAGTGTCGCCGTTCGCTAAAATGTCATTCGCTCTTGTGATATGGACCCCATACAGGTAACGCTTTTCCCTCCCCGAAAAATGTCACAATGGTTCACAACAGAAGAAAACGACATCGCCCGAGCATTTTTGAAACGTAACGATTGCTCTATTTCGCCCTCTCTGCATCATGCTCTAAGATGGCGGCGGTCGGAAAAACACAGGACAATGAGGTAGCGAAACTCGAAGCGTATATACGTAACATAACAAGACGGTCTGATGAAAGAACAAAAAAAAGACATAAGTCTTTAAAAATAACTAAGAACATTTCCTCTACCAATGTTAGGTATTGAGGAGGAGTTTAGGATATTGGCATAACCCCTACCTACAGTCGTATTCATTTTTTGTTGAAAAACTATGCTCCCCATCGTGGGAGACTTTAGAAGCGGTACGAATGAATACCAAACGATGTGTTTTTCTTCTTTTTTTAATATTTCTGAACCGTGTTTTTTTTGCAGGCGTCGAAGACAGCGGTTTTTACTTTTTCGGGATCTCGGCATTCCCGGCCCCACACCTAGCCTTTTTTCGGGAAATCTGTCTGAGCTTATACGAAAGGTAATTGGGCGAGCCTATCTCTGCCGCGACTTGCCAAGTTAACGTCGGTGTAAAATCATGCAAACTTTTTTTGAGGTGTTTTCAAGAGTGTTTAAAACGTGAAAATATTTATTTATAAACCAAAAAACGTGTAAAATGAAACTTTCCGCAAAGGTATCGTTAGGTGGTACATGTATCATACTCATCGTTTATAAGTGTAGGTTTCGTGAGAAACATGTAACCATAAAAAAAAAAAATCTTTTTCCCTATTCACGAAAAGGAAAAGGGAAAATACCATTTGGCTGACTCTGCGACTCACAAATGACGCGACATGAAGAAACAAAAAAGGGGAAAGAGACGAGCGCCTGATTCCGTGTTCAGGCGCTCGTCTCAAACAAGTGTTCACGCGTTTTTTGTTTTGTTTTGTTTTTATCCATATTCAGTTAGGACTTGTACCTGGATCTCGATCTGGATCCAGATCCGAGTTTGTGTGGTACATATGAGAAGAAGCGTTAACCAGATGGTCTTCACTGTTTATCTTCCTGCCGATAAGACAAAAAAGAGGATCTATTAGGCTTTATGTTTTCCCCATGAAACCAACACCCATGAAATTTGAGTTTAATTAATGGGCCACCCAATGACTTTTTTTTTGTGAAAAAGTTAAAATAGTAAGGTGGCTGTTGCTCAATTTGTGCAATTTTTTTAATTCATCGTAAGGAACTGAGAAACTACCTTTACATAAAGAAGCAATTTGGCGTCTTTATGCCACCAAGGCATAAAGGCGCAAAAAGACGATGGCTACCTGGCGACGGCAATCGGGTATACTGTTTTCCATTTTAATTAATGAAATCTCCGCACACTACTTGCATATTTTTTGGTCAAATATCAGAACATACCATTTGGGAGCATTTTAAATAATATATGATAGTCGTAGAAATGCGGAGTGAGATTAATAGGATTTTCAGAATATCTACTATCTGATGAGGCCTCCGAAAAACAATAATAATTTGCCGTTGGCAGGTATAGCGATTTTTCAAGATATTTTATATTAAAACACGGTGATCAAAATTTTGTTGCATGATTATCGAGGATCGTTTTACTTTTGAGACGTGTCTGTGTTAAAACTTAAAAGAGAAAAACGCTCTGCATTGTGGTTATCTGAAGTATAAAAAACTAACATGGGCAAGATTTTCGTTGCTAAATAAAATTGCAAACAAGCTGGATTTGCTCCATTTCTTATATTGTTTAACACGTTGTCTTAACAAGGAACATTGAATGCAGCAGACATTTTTTAAGGTTGTTTTTTTGTTAACGATAACTGTGTAATAATACCTATGCAAGTTTACAACAAAAAAAGACACGTTATATATTCAGAATGCCGCTTATCATGACGGCCTTACAGTTATGCTCAGATACTGTTCACCGTGGGGCAAAAGCGAACATACTAGCACCAGCGTGGGATTAACCAGAAGCTTCACGACCGCTCTGGAACATAAAAAAAAAATAGAAACGGGATGCTTTTTCTTTAATTTTTCGCTTGTTCTGACGTACCAATGTTAGACGACCAGGAATCCAGCAGCTCACATGTCTGGTGATAAACTTCACCCGACCCTTTGTATTTAACTGTTCAATCTTTGTCGAACGAAATGAGCTTTAGAGACCTGCCTGTTGGTTCGGATTGCGGTGCTTGGTATTAATGGGTGGAGAATATTCAGAGTCCTTTCAGTCACGCGACTGAAATTTTTGAGTTCAAAGGGACGCGTGGAACGCAACACGCCCAGTTTCACATTGAGACCTACCGCAGCCGACACTACGTTTCGATACAGTCAATCGAACAACTAAAAAAAGTGCGTCGTCACTGCGCTCGTGGTTTTGAGTACGCACGATAAGAACAAATAAACTTGGAGGACTCTTAAAGGAGGTGTGCAACGATTTCAACGTTGAAAGAATTGGAATTTTCTACTTTTGACGTTGTTCATCTTGTCACAAAGGACAGAAAACACACCTCCTTCCTTCGAAATATTGCGATTCCGCCGCGCTATCGCGATGCAAAAATTAGAATATTCCCCGACCTGCCGCCGCGAGCGGCGGCCATGAGAAACACGCGCCGTGACATCAATGGGGGTGTTGTAGAAAGTTAGCAGGTTGTGCGAATACCTGCTCGATAAAAGGTAACTTTTCTATAAATCTTGTCGTTCCAACATAAATATCAATGCCTAAAAAACCTGATATCAGCGACAAAACTTTATTATACGGAGTTTTAGTGGTGCCATCTATCCGAGGTCAAAATCGTAAGCTCTATCTGCTACCGCGAACAACCGCCAGAAGCCGGAGGGGGACGGGGGCATTGCCGGACGGGGATGGCCGGAACCGGATGAGACTTTCCTTCTTTCACTATATTGTTCGCGCTGCGCCCGCCAGCACGTGGTCACGCGGTCGCGAGCGGATGAGTTCTCGCTGCTCACTGATGGCTCTAGAGAAAGAGCGAGCTACACCGGGACTCCGCGCGACCCCCATTGACGTCACAGCGCATGTGACTCGGAAGATGTTGAAGGAGTTGAGAGGTGCCGGAAACCCCAATCTTTGTCCATTTTTAAAATAAAAACTAAGACACGCAGGCAAAATCGGTTTCTAATTGTTCTTTACTTCAGAAAGGTCGAGACACCAACTCCCAAGTTATTTGAGCAAAGCGCTGAAACTCTTGCACAGCTCCTTTAAGCTTCGCCTTTAAGAATGGAACGCAATAGCGTAAAAGGGCCCCGTTCTCGTCGCCTTCTGATTGGCTGCGGAAGCTGCTTTGCGTGGCCGAGTCAGTATACGTGGGTGGCTCGCCACCAGAGGTACGCGGATTCAAATCCCACACAAAATTCTTCAATTTGTTTTTCTTTAAGTCAAACTTCACGGTTTAAAATACTCTCATACCACGCGTGACGTCACGTTTCACATGAACCTTGTCTGTTGTTTGAAAATCGTCGAGCGAGTTTATGGTGCTGTAACGTCATGACCCTATCGACCAATCAGGATTTTCCCGTCACGACGCCACCGACGCCGGATTTTCTGCGACAGGAGCTGCTCAACGTCACATTCACTACGAGTGATTGGTCTTGCCGGTGATATCAAACGCGCAAAGACAACACAAGCACCGTGACGCTGTACTCTTGGTGCTGCTTGGTTTGTTCCGTCGAACCGCAGCCTTTGGCTGTGGTCGGACCTAATTTGAAACGAAGTTTACGAGCATTGCCAAAAAGGCAGGAGGCGCTATCTCGAACATTGTTGCCACTAGGTATTGATAGACAAAGAAACAAATGCATTTCATATTGATTGGGACAAAAAAAAATATTCATAACCAGTCAGCAGCGTACGCAAAAACTGACTTGCCCTGAAAGAGATGCTGGACCGAAATTCGGAGCTCACGAAACAACGTTGTAGGAATAGACGTGACGCTGCAAAACCCGAAAACATCACAAACACAACAATATTTCCAACGGATGGCCGTATTTTGTGAAAAGAATTCCGCGATTGCGCGAGGCCGATGACACATCTCGCGTCACTGTTCTGATTACTCTTCGCTTCCTCTTTTCGAGCAGGTGAACTGAAGCGATGAAGAGAGAAGCAAGGCTGCTCCCTTTCGTTCTCAATGCTGATTAATCGCCGCCCTTCTTTTTCTCTAGAAATACTGCCATCCGCTTGAGATATCGCTGTAGAGTAATGTTTTGGAGTTCATAGCGTCCCGTTCAATGCTTAGGCGGCCTTGGGAGTTACGATAACATTCAGAGATTGAATTTCCCCTTTCTGCAGTTACTAATAATAAAACAAAAAAAACGATATAAACTTCTGTGGCAATATAATAAAATATTGTATTCTATTTGTTTTCAGGGCGCCGCAGAGGCTTTCGACGAATGGATCGAACAATACGGAGAATTTGTCGGGTAAAAAAAATATGTGGTATTTATTTTCAAACAAAACAACCTTCCACGGATTCTCTGCTAGTGTGGATGTTGAAATCGGTTGCAAAGACGCTATCGCGTATTTTGTTTGAATCTAGAGCAAGCATAACTTTCAGAAACATGATTTCACAGAAATTCGGTTGATGAATTCACGGGAGATTAGAAGAACATCACTTGGTCTCAAGGCCGGGAGCACGAGATTATCAAGAGAAAACACGTAACAAACATAACATTATACTCGATTTAAAAACGTTAATGCTGGTTTGTAGAAAGTATTGGCACTTTCGGGTGAATCTAGATTATGTTTTCTATCCTACATTGATCTGAAACCAACGAGTTTCCACTGGAGCAGCAATCTGCTAACGGGGCCCCGGAAAAAAAAAAAATTAAATAGTCTGTTCGGGACACGCGTGTCAAAAAATTAATTTTACTCAAGAAAAAGTTTAGAGCAATACAAACGGCGCGAGATGCGATTTAGTCAGTAGTCACCTCCTTTCCACTTGTTTTCTCTCTCATCATTTTGGACGGGTGGAGGAGAGGTGGACCGGCTTCGCCTTCATGTTGAGGTCGAAAGAGCGAATGACCATTCTGTGACAACATGGACTTTGAGCCCAGAATTTCAAATAAATCTCTCGCCGTCACTATTGCCCTAAATGGTTTTTAGTGTGCCGCGGCTCTCTTTTCTTTTCTTTTTTCCTGTTTTCTGTGTATCACTACTGTCAACGTGTTCCTTTTGTATGAATTCCCCCCTATGTAATGCCCGAAAGGGCCCTTAGCGTATATAAGTAAATAAAGAAAATTAATTTTTTTCCCGTAAAATTTATTTTTTGTTACGCGTGTTTTAACCAAACTAGCTTTAAAAAAAAAGAAAACTTTCAGCTTTTTCACTCTGGTGAAGGAGGAAGAGCAGCCAAGGTATGCTCTGGTGAGAATGAAGTAATGGCCGGCCGCAAGTCGGCCAGCCAGATTGGAAAGGTTCGAAAGGCTGCTGCCATCTATGAGCGACGGAGGCAACCAGACACCCGGCAAGCCGGTTGCCTGGTTGCCGCCGTCGCTCATAGATGGCGGTACCTGTCCAGAGTTCTGTGTCATTATTTGTTTGCTGGCGGTCACGATCTTGGGAAAGCTAGCCCTTAACAGCTTCCTTTTAAACACATCTTTATTTTTATGTTGAGGGATTTTTTAAGCATTTGATTCACGCCACTTTTATAGTTGCTATTGAAAGACAGAATGGCTCAACTACCTTGAATATTTATGGAGAATGTAGTGATAGAAAGTTTTCAATTATAGTAAGAAGTCTTGTGTCAAAAGTTTCAACAAATACAACTATTTCTTTGAATACGTTCCTACTGGTCGCCCATTATTATGCTAAAGCGCCATTCTTTTTAAGGTTTACTAACGCAGCAATGTTTATTGCTGACCTTTCTACGTAGCGCTACTCAAAGAGAAGAGCGTTTTGTAACGGCCGGACCCTGTGCATTTCTGTACTGCTGATTATATTTATTGTTATCGAAGGTTCTTCAATGGCGGGACGCCTGTTCTAATTGTCAAGAACCTGGAGTTGATAAAAGCAATTCAGATCAAAGACTTTGCCAACTTCCACGAAAGAGGGGTAAGTGCCAGTTCTGGCGAGACCTGACTGGGCTTCTAGAGTGCAAAGCAAAATTGTGCCTCCTTAACATCTTACTTATAATTGTGTATGGTAGAATTAAAGCGTAGCACGCATGAAGTCAAGTAAATTTCCAACCCCTAAAAATCGCTTTCATATTTTTATAAGTATTTTAATGCTTTTTCATTACATTCGAATATATATTCGAAGTTTTGATTGTACAGCTTGAACTGACGAATAATAACCAATATATTTTAAGCGATTTTTATACTTGTTTATCTATTTTTTTTTGTCTTGATGTATATACTGCCTGATGTTGGACCTTTTGGTAACCTCTCCATAGGTGGTGTCCAACTTTTCGAAGACGCATCCGTTAGGGAAGGTGAGCCTCAACAACGCATCGGGAGAACGCTGGAAACAGATGAGAAGCCTACTCACTCCTGCATTCAAAATAAGCAGCATGAAAAAGGTATGCTATTATCACTTCCGTTAAAGTCATTAAAGATTAACAAATCATGAGCCATTCCACTCTGCGAAGGTGGAGAAGCAGCGAAGCTGTTTGGCACACGACGCAGACGCGCCCCGAGGAGCCGGCGGAAAGCAGACACGGGCGACGTTACCGCTACCCCGGGATAGCTGATGGAAAGCGAACTAGGCACCCAAGCGCTTGGAACGACGTCAAAGAGAGAGCGGTGCGAGCGTAGACAAGGCCGACGGGGGTCGCAGAAGGGAAAATATTTGAGAAACATTTCTTATTCACCTGAGAGTCTAGTGATCTTAAAAATGGTGCCTATTCAGGCGCGTGGCCAGGGGGTGGCCCGGGGGGGCCAGCCTCCTCCCCCACCCCCCTCCACCCAAATCCTTAGTTTTGCTGGGACCTCCACTGCCCCCTTCCCCATCTACGATGTTGTGCATAAAGCGCCCCCCCCCCCCGCCCCCTAAACGAAATCTAGGCTACGTGCCTGTGCCTACTGATAACTAAAGCACTCGATATAACTATTGCTAAATTACTCAAGCACCAAAGAGACTGCAGGGAATGGTGTTCCACGCGCCGAACGAGATGGCATCTGCAGCACTAACTGTTCTCAAACACAAAAGCCTAAAACAAATGGCATCTTGGACGCGGTTTCGTCAACGCTCTATTTTGGGTATTTTCTTCGAATTTTTTTATACGGGGAAGGCGTGCGCGTGCGAGCCGTATGGCGGTGCGAGCGCAGAGATTGTAGTAACTGCACACGAAATATCCACGGAACACTAGCCATAAATAGCTTCGCTGTAGAACAATTTTGGAGCAGGGTACTCACATGCTATGTGTATACCCTGCTCTTCTCGTTTGAAGTAAGTTGCAGAAATAATTGGCCTACGCTTCAAACGACGCGTAAAGGAATACCCCGTTATAGATTCAGTTGAATACTCACTGAACCTAAAATATATGTAAACATAATTTCCATATTAAACAAAGCGGACCACTCTGATCACGCGATCGGCATTATTTTTCCTTTCTTCAATGACACGAAAACTTGCCCGTTAAGGTTAAGAGCGGAGAGTGTGTTTATTTGCGACAGCAACCTGAAAAAAAATCTATAATTTTACCGTTATGAGAAATCAAGTGAAACAGATGGTGCGTTTAGGCTAAGTGTGGTACCGAAGTGCTCTGTAGTTCTTATATTTTTAGCAAGTTTATATACCAACTATCGAGAAAAATGATAACTCACCTGACCGGTAATCAAGAGGTTCCTTATTTTGTTCCTAGCTGCGTCATGTGATGTTTTTCTGATAGTTTTTTTACTTAATATGATCAGAAGGTTTTAGTTATCAGAATATATCAATTGGTGTAAAAAAATTTTGAAGGAAAAACCTCTTTTGCGAAAGTTAGCTATTCAGTTAGGAGGTGCAGTGCTGTAAACTTGTGTTCTAACCGTTTGTTTCAAAGGAGTTCAATTTTAAGATTAGCAGTAAGTTTAAACGTTTCTGCACCTTCTCTTTCAGATGGTGAACCTTATGGACGAATGCTCCAACGAATTTCTCGGCGTTGTGAAGCAGAGCTCCCTCGATGGTGGAGCCATCGAAGTTCGAAGAATATTTCAGAAGCTGGCCATTGACGTGATTGTGAGGTCGGCGTTCGGAATTCGTACCGGTGTTCAGAAACACGGCAGCGGAACAGAAATGGATCAACTTCTGAATGAAACTCAGAAAAGTGTCCAACAGTTTCGCACGGGCTGGCTAAACTTTTTCATAAGTGCGTTTCATTTATACAACTCTAAATCATCGCGTTTATGTTATACACGTCTAGACTGAATTTGGGGTAGGGAACCTTATTATGAGATGTAACCTGAAGCACAAAAAAAGAGAGGACGCTTCATGCAACTTACTTTAAGATATTGAGGTGAAAAATATGTGTATTTAAGTTCCTTGCTTGGAGTATTGAAGAAAAAAAAAGGCGCTGCTCATTTTGCCTATAGGAAATAATAGCTACTTCTGCTGAATTCACAGCTCGTTCACAAGAATGGCAAGTTCTATAAATATACAAACACCCCAACTTGTGGCGATCCTTTTGTGCTGTAAATAGCCTCGTGCTTAAATTTTGTCGCCAATAATTATAGTGCAGAAATGTAGAACACAAATTACGCGTTTCACGAGAGGAACGTGTGCCATCAAGCATAATGGCAAAAGTACCTCTGATCCTGCGTCAGCGACGGATGGACGGCTGTGTAGGTGCACGTTACTGTTGATTTTGTACACAAGGCACGTTCTCGAATGTTCTGGACCAGAACACTTGATAAAATTTTACATTTTGCATTTTGTAGCCAGAGATAATATGAATAAAATAAAATGTGTCGCTCTACCTGCACCACCAAACGGTAAAACAGAATGAAACCAATTAAAAATAAATACATTTGGTCTAATAGGACCAAAACAAAATTTTGATTGAAAAGCAAACAAACAATGAAAAACAGGGACACAACGAAACTGCTAGAATCGGGTACGGGTTTCTGTTTTGTCAGCGGGGGCTTTTCTCGATTATAAACTCGTTGTAATAATGGCGTAGTTTAAGATATTGTCCATTCAGTTTAATGCCTCTTGGTCTTGTGTCTTGGTTGAGACGACGACGAGGTTTCTTCGTTGGTTTCTTTTGCACGTGTTATTTTTTTCAATATGTATGATAAAGTAAGCCAAATATGTTTTATAGGGTTTATTAACATATAGATGTTTTTTTATTAGTTTATGTTTATTCTAAATGATGGCTCCAAATTGTTCTTTTTTTCGGATCCTAGAGCTGAAATTTCTTGAGAATGGATTTGAATATTTTCCTCTTATGAAGTTATTCTGTAGCCATAGCGGTTTATTGCCCGCTGAGCGATAGTGTCACTTTGTTTCCAGATGTATACTTTTATCTGTGTTTACTGGAATATAACTCTAAGTAATTCAAGACAAAGTCCTTTTTAGCCTTGTTCCCTCTATATATACATTAGTCTAATTCAAAACAAAGTCCTTTTCGGGCCTCCACCCCGAGCCACCCCACGGTACCCAATTGGTTACTGCTTTTCGCTTTTTTTCAATAAATAATATCTATTGTAATTATAACCTATTTCTTCCCTCAATCTTTCCACTTTTCTTTTCCTTTTTTTCTTTGTTTTCATTTTACTCACTTAGGTAATATATTCATTAGTTCGTTCAATCTCTTTATCTTGCTTGGAAGGAGTGATTGCAATATAATTTATTATTTTAATGAATTTGTCCTTCCTCCATCTTCACACAATCTTCACACACAAACGCGATAATGGGCTGGAACATTCCGGAACGGTACAATATTCCTCTGTGTTCCTTCGTGTGGTAGCTGCGTGCGTTGTGAACTCTGACACCCACGCGGTAACATTTCATGTCAGTGCGTTCTTACCTTTATAGTTTACTTATACTTCAAGTAGTTTCATATTCTGCTTTTTTATATGCGTGAACAAATTGTTTCCTAATTTTTTAGGTTGCTTTCCCGAGCTTTCCTTGATATGGCGGTGCATCCTTGCTATAAGGGCGCATTTTATGAAGTTGCCCACCGATAACATCAAGGATGGCATGTTGCCCATCATAAACATGCGACGATCGAATCCTCATGTGAGTAATTTAAGAGCGCATAAATATTTTCTACCGCTCATAATTTAATGTGTTGTGCATCCTTGAAAATTGCAGTGGGAGTGCCAAAAAAAAACAATGTTGACTTTTTTTTTCATAGTTCAACTCGATTTATTAATTTACAAATGCTCAATATTAACAAAGTCCCCTTGACTGGCTTTTCAGCGGGTGGCTACAATAATTGTTAAGGTAACGGTTCAACGTATGAAAGACACTCAAACATATTTTCATACCTGCCCTCAGAAAATTTCATTTAGAAAAATGCATAATTTTAGTGGATTTTGCCGTCTCCATGGATTTGTAGGAAAGTCAGCAAACACTATACAACTTTTAGTTTGCATTGCAACCATTTGCCTTTTGCTTAACCCATGAAGACTTAAATAACAGTTAAACCCCATATGAATGTTATTTTTAATGAACCATTTTTATAGTATTGAGATAACTGGTAAAAAAAGTAAGAAGTCAATTAAATTTAGGAACTCTCACTGCCTTGACATAATATTTGTTTTTGCTTCAATGATTGGAGCCTTTAAAAACTTTGCCTCGGTGCTCTGCTTTTCGGTCGGTAATAACAAACACGCACTTCTGTCAACATTTGGGCACAGTTGTTTCTTCAGTTCAAAGCAATTATTAATTAGTGACTTCTTTAATATGGCTTCATAGGCGTTGCAAAGAGTAAATATTCCTCTTATCAGGTCCAGCGAGACGACCTCCTCCAGTTGATGCTCAATTCCGAAGCTGATGACGGTGCTCCCATAAATGTACATGACCTAGCCGCAGAATACGAGAGCAACCCAGCATCACAAGGTGAGCATTTAGACAATTTGTTTAGCTTGGATATACGACGTCCTCTATTGCAAAGGCCTGGTGGGCTGGCGAGTAAGATACAACAACCTTCTACAAAAAATTGAAATCCGGTCGTGTGGAAACTGCGGTGTCCTATGCTAAATATGTTTCCATGTAAACGAGACTCCTGGAAGCCCGAAGTTCGATATGACAACATATGTGCCGCTAGAAGTGTTGGATTTTTCAGCGGCTTAACTCACCATTCATACAATAAAAATGACAAATTAGCAGCCAACCCCTCCCCCTCCTCCCCGTTTTCTCCCCTATTTTTATTTTGTCTGAATTGTATGTTTTTAAATGTTTAGCAAAATTAAAAGTGGTTTATACGACATAAATGGAGGACGGAACATTTTGAAAGCGGTGGCTTTCTCGAGAAAATAATTTCGGGGATGTCATAATTACCCAGGTAACGAAACTTTAGTAAGATAATTCTGAGAGATTTAGGAAATATTTTATGTTTAAAAGTGCCCACAGAACGAAGTGTCAACTTAGCTGCGCCACGAAAAAACTGCGATGATCAAACGCATTCAAACACCACTGAATTTCAAGACTCAAACTGACGCTCCCTTCAATAGTGGGCGTTTGTCCGTTGAACGACTCCTCAGCCTGAAAGCCCCTCTACGGCAAGGTCGCTGGTGCGTAGGAAAAGTGCAGCATGACTGTCTCGATTTTGACTTGACTCAATAGCCGTTTCTGATGTAACTCTTCCGAAAATAACTTACAGATTATATATTAAATACCCCCCCTCCCCCCAATCTAGAAAGCAAGGGCTTACTGTAAACAGAGGACCCCTCAAGAATATTTAGACGGACATGAATTTGATGCCGGATACACGTTTTGTACCCATTTGATTAGTTTCTTAAAAAGTCAGGGCTTACTTAGAATATGCAGTGGGTCTCAATCATGTCCTTGGACAAGTATATGAAAGCGCGGGTTACAATTTATTTGATCTTACTTATTCTTCTAGCAATTGTACCTAAAATGGCTGAAAGTAATGTTGCTTGAAATATAAAAGCCCCCAAATGAAAACGGCAAGGACTAAGACGAAAAGATACAACACAAGACGCACTCGCAACTGTTGTTTATTGGAAATTACGTGCCTAATATAGGCCCGCTACTACCTTCCAGTCATCAAAGTGCCGGTGCAACGCTTATCTTATATATTAAAATTCCATGCGTTGCATCAGCTATTTACTTTAACTGATCGCTTCCCTTACCACCACCGCCTCCCCCTCTTTAGCTTTAGCGAGTTATCATTTGGCCCGATCCGTCTCCGCTTCGCAGGAAATTGGACCGCTTCAGTATAAGGTTGCAGACTTCCGCTCTAAAACCATTTATAATTTTCACGTATATAGCTTGGGCGAGCTGGAAACATTTCTTTTAACATTTGTGGCAAACCTTGTCGTATTCAGAAGTAACTAGTGTCTAAAAAAATTCGCTTATACGGGTTTTGCTTGTTTGATCTGTAGCAGAGATATCGTCGTCGCCTGCTTCCTTCTAATTAAAAAATATCAATCGGCGCTTCCCTCGAGAATCAGGTCAAAATGTAATGCAACATTAATTTGTTTTAGAACAATCTGAAACCAGATCCTGTGGTCAGAGACGACGACGATTCTTGACGAATGTGGAAATACAGTCCAATGCAGTTATCTTCCTCATTGCCGGGTAAGGATTTAGTTCGGCATTTTGAAGTTATCTAGAAACTGAAAACCCTTTAATTATATTGACTGACAAAAAACTTGAGGCATCGTGATATCGGCTCAAGGTTTGAGGTTGTTGTTGCTGCCTAATTTGTTTTTGTGTGAATACATTGCATAGCATCAAAAAAACTTTTTATAAGTATTCAAGCCACTAGTCTGGTGAAAAGCAAGCATACCTGCGAATACGAAACATTCAAAGACATATACATTTTTATTCTTTAAACGCAACTATAGCATCTGCTGGAATTAAGTACTGTTTGTTTTATATTTTTTAGTAGTTTGTGCGACAAAACCTGCATTGTGAGGATATATATCAGTGCGTGGCAATCTTCTTTTTGATTGCAATTTTCTTAATGATAAAATGTTATTGACACCTAATTTTGTTGTAAGGTATAAAAACATTATTTCTTATTAAAATAGTTGGTTTCCGTGACATAAAAAGTTCTAAAAATAATTTTGATTTAAAGACACAACTCAAATTTTATTTGAGATTTCCATTTTAAGTCGGAGTATGGGCACATTTAAAATCCAAGTTTTCAACATTAATTTTTTTTCTGCAGCTTTGAAACGGCAAGTGCAGTCCTGACGTTCACAGCATACCTCCTGGCAAAACATCAACGAGTACAAGATATGCTCAGAGCTGAAATAGCTTCAGTAATGGAAAGGGATGTAAGATACGAGCCCTAATTCTTGCAGGTTATTTCCTTTGAGAAGGTTTCATATGATCTTTTTTTGTGTTTTGTTTCAGTGTCATTTTACGTACGACAACGTTTTTGCCATGCGCTATTTGGACCAGGTTATCTTGGAGTCCATGCGGATTTACACACCATTCGTTGGGTGAAGTACAACCTCTCAAGGGTTCGGGTCGTTGTTTTCTTATCAGTTGATAAGACAAAGAGCTTGATTGGCCGTTCTCATGGCGGTCTTTTAGCATTGCGGAGTTCAAACAATAATTAGGGTAAGATTGATATTTATTTGCCTTTCATTTGAAGTACGAAGCACGTATTGGTGGGAGAATTGTAAATACATACCTATAAGTTCCGGGCCGATCATGCAGATATAAGCCGCGGTTATCAAGTGCTTTCTTTTAAATTACGACTGTATACAGCAAACTTTCTGAGCACTAGCTTTAGAATGTGGTTATGACTATTTTCTTTTCTTGTTGCTGGTAATAAATCATCCATGTCTGTGATTGTGATGGATTACAAATAAAATCTTAGCATTCAACCTTACCAAATAGCATGTGCTTATGAAAAAGCCATACACGTTACTTGATCAGAAATATTATCTCGTGAGCTTTGTTTTCTTGGTATCCTTCTGTTGCAAGTGTTGTTGAGAATAATTTGAAGATCAGCGTGCTAACTCCCAAAGTTGCACTCATCAAAGTTGAAAACTGAGCTGGTTGGTAGTTGTTGTAAACGAACCATGTACAGTGGCACTCAGTTACTCGTAATGTAACCTAGCAACATTATAATGTTACTGAGCGTGTTGTGTTCAATTTGTGTTTGAAGCTTCATCACAAGGACGTGCCAACGTGAATACAATCACAATGGACTCAAGATTCCAGCAGGGCTAAGCATCTTGATTCCTGCGTATCAGCTGCATCATGATCGTGATTTATGGAACGAGCCAAATAAATTCGATCCCGACAGGCAAGTATAGAACGTTATAGTCACACGATGAAACGCGGACTTCATTGGAACGTTCACCAATTGCCTAAATTTCAACACCGACAGGTTCAGCCCCGAAAACAGGGGAATGATAAACCCAATGGCCTTTCAGCCATTCGGCAATGGTCCACGGAATTGCGTGGGAATAAGGTTTGCTCAATTAGAAATGAAGCTGACGTTGGCCAAGTTGTTGGCAAAGTTCAGGATCAAGCTGGATGAACGACACATCAAGGTATGTTTCTAAACATTAGAATGTAGCTGAAACTTTTGTAATTTATTTTTAGTTGTTTTATCAACTATCGCACAGCAGTGTTGGCGGTAACGGGTTAAAAGTAGCAGTGTTACGGGTAACGCGTTACATTTTCAGTATCGTAATAGTGTACTCGTTAAATTTTCAGAACAGCGAATGTATAACGAACTCGAACTAATTTCCAGTAATGGGCAACGCAGTTAAGCTCCTCGTTACATCCTGTGTCCCATACTTAAAAAATAGCACTAATTATTTTCCGGCTCTTTTATTTGTATTCAGGTGGAACCGAAGAAAAATAAGATATTTATGTTAGGTTTTTGCATGGACGTAATTACCTTGATATATAGTGCCTATTCGTATACCTGTAACGTCAAAGTAGCAATACGTTTTATCTAATAAATAACAAAAAACACGCGAAAATTACGTGGGCAACTTTTTTGGTAACGGTAACGGTCACGCATTTTGAGACGTAGGCAGTAACACGTTCCTTTTATTTTCTAGTAAAGACTAACATATTTTATTTTTCTTGGTACCGCCTCAAAGACTCCGCAGGGCCGACCAGATAGAATATTAACTGGCATAATTGGTGGACGCAGCTACGTTGCTTCAGGCGAAACGATTTATAACAAACTCATGTGCTTATTTTATGATAATAGAAATTCAAATTATTATTTTATAATAAACAGACGAATTGCGTGGTCACTCTAATTATCTCTGCAACAGTTTTTAGAGCAGATCAAAAATTTACAATACGCACATTCTTAAGATTTCTGAATATTACCATCTCTCAATAGAGGAATATAAAATTGCTTTGGAGGCGGTTTCAATGACACCCCGGTTTTTGCTTCATCCTTCAGTCTGCGGCTTCGACTGTAGAAAGCACGAAAAATATATATCACAGTGTAAGAACGAAAGGAGGGTCAGTATCTTGACGGGAATCATCATGTTGAAATTACTTTCGATTTACAAAGGCGGCAGATTGGGATATCGCTGAACGCGAGATCATCAATTCCAGCATTTGATGGTGCCCTATAAAATCCTTCTGCTTTGTAAATTTGACATGGTGAAAAAGTGTGAACTGGCTTCAGGTGGAAATAAACATGTGGTACAGCTTGTTGTGACGCAAACGTCAAACCAGGAATCAAGTAATCTATAATATGACTTCGTTTCTTTTTAGATTCGACTGTTTGTTATTTTACCTCCCGCCTTTAATTTCTGCATTCTCCTTTGCTGGAAACCAGGAGCGAACCGCAACAAACGACACATTTAGCGTCTGGAGCTGCCTTTCTTTTCTATTCCTTGTGACCGCCGTTTTACTTTTTTTTTTTCAGGAGGATCACTTGAAACTTGGATCAACGTTTATTTTTTCTTATCCTCAAGATGGTGTATGGCTGGAATTTGAGGAAATCTGAGAATTCGGTTGAACTTTCGCTTCGTCGATTGTTTGCATAGCGTCAACAGGATGCGATTTACCATCTGCTCAATTTTTCGAAAATAGCAAATGACATTTCAGAATTTCTTCATGTTTTCATTCGACTCTTCGTTTAACACGCACCTTCGGGCACAAAAGTTTAACAAATTTTACAGTTTTATTTAAAATTTCGCGCAATTTGAAATACTTCAGTTTTTGTTCATTTGATGACTGCAGATAAAGCGACATCGAATCACAGGTTTGACAGGTAAACCACCGGTGATGTTCCGCCACCAGGGTCCTTGCTAACAGCAAAATGAATCAGTTGTGAAATCATCAGTCATACATTTATGGAACAACAATGCATATCTGGTTAACGGATCAGTCAGAGTCGCGTTTCTGTGGTCGAAGTGGTGCTGAAACAAGTAGCGTCTGGATTTTATTGTAATTATATTAAAAATAAATAGAATTCCGCACATAACGTAACAAAGTATAATTCAGTTCGAAATTAGTATTTGGCTAACACTTTCGGAGATTTTGACAAATCATTTAACTAAACGCAACATCGGCTCCACTTCGCTTAACATGAATCGATTGGAAAATTATACATAACTCTTCCTAAGCAGAGAAATAAATTTCGGTAGAAATAAATTCTAGTTAGCTACAGACAGAGTCTCTGACCCTGCCTCATGGGCTCCTTGTACGAGCACGTCGTCCCGCACCTGGGGGACCCGGCGCTTCAGCAGGTAGCTGCTCTCTTGCTCTCTCCAACACGTCAAGGCGTTCATCGTTTTCAGGAGCTTTGTGGTTCTAAGGCGTGTAGTCAGCGTGAATTTTGTATAGGTTGGTGGTGTACAATCTGGCATCTGTGTCATCAGTTTTTTCATTTCTCCTTGAATTCGTGCTAACAGGAAAAGGTTTGAAGCTAGAGTTTCTAGCGATTGTTGTTTGACTCCTTCGTGCAGTGATTCGCTTTCCGTTGATCTCTGTGACCGTGTATTCCTTGGGGTCACATGAAGGAGTCAGCTTATTTGTCTGGTTTTTCTTGCAAGTAACAGAATCCCCGATCTTGATGTTGTTAGCTCTTGCGTGTTTGTGCTCGGGTGCCTACACCTTGTGTTATGGCGATTCGTAAGATCTGTGTGTCGTCACATCTGTTGTTCAGCGTTGTTGTTATTTATTGAATCTGGAAGCAGGTAGCCCATGGGTGGCCCAAAAACTAATGCAAAGGGTGTTTGTTTTGTTGTCGAGCGAGGAGTTGCCCTATAAGCCATTGGGAACTGGCTCAACTCGGTGGTTTAAGTGCTGTTTTCGAGTGTCGTTGCTTGTATGAATCTCTTGAGCGTGCGCATAAACCGCTCAACTTCACAATTAGCCTGTGGCCAGCACGGCGCAATGTGATGTAGAAAAATCCTAATGACTGGGCGAAAGGTTTGAAATCGTGGACCTGGAATGGAGGCCCATTTTCCATCTTGATGACCCTCGGGATTCCAAAAATACTAAATACCTTTGTATAAATTGTTAACTACTGTTGGGGCCGCAAGTGATAATATTACCTTCACGATATGATATCGCGAAGCATAAGTTAGTAGGACCAGTAAATATTTTACGTTAGGTAACGGTCCTCCAAAATTAAATGAGAGGGCTTTCCAAGTCTGGTTGGCTTTTGCTGGAATAGTGACGGGTTCAGCATGTGGGCGCTTGATAGTGGCCTGGCATGCCATGTAGTTCTTTAGGGTTGCATGCACCATGCTGTCTAGTTGTGGAAACCAAACTTTTTGATTGATAAGACCTTCTGTTTTGGTTGTCCCCTGGTTGCCCATATGGGCAAGGGATATCGCTCGTTGTTGAAGAGCGGCAGATAAAACGAGGGAATTACCTTTCAGCAGAAGACCGTTGTCTGTCAAGAAAGCTCGTGTTGTATCAATACAAAATGTCTCAGCGCTTGGTTGTACTAGTTGGCAGGATTCTTGAGGGACACAATTACTTGCTGTATATGAGAGTCGACAGCCTTGGCAGTAACCACTGCCGCACTATAGTCATGACTTTTGTAAAATGATGTTTGGCAATGAAGTTGGCATAGGCATGGGTGATTCGAGCGATAAGCACCAGCAGGGCAGTTCGGCAAGGGGTGGCGAGACCGGTTGTCTAAAGGATTGCTAATTCCCCGTGTGTGTTCCACTCTAAAAGTATACTGTTGTATCCTTAAAGCGAGACGCTCCATTCGTGCAGATGGAGAAGCTCGTGGATTGGTGAGAATATACACAACTGGTTTGTTGTCTGTGCGAAGCAGGACAACAAACCACTTTTGTCCATCCTCGTTGCCATAAGGGTAGAGATGAAAATGCTATGTTCTCCAAAGCACTGCAAACAGGTCATGTTCGATCTCAGAATTCCGGGATTCGGTGGGTGTCATAACGCCACTGACATAGGCGACAATCGCAGTACTCCCGCCTCCTTCCTGAGCTTTGATGGCACCCTAGCCAATAGGGGACGTGTGAAGCGTAGGGACGATTTCTTTTGTGCTGTCAAAAAAAGCGAGGTTATGAACTCCAGATATGTTTTCTCTCAGGGACTCCAAGACTGCTTCTTCCGTTGGGCCACATTTCCATTTATCTTTCTTTTTAATAAGAAGTTGAAGCGGGTGTGTGGAGATCAGCAGCTTTATGTAAGAAGGGCTTATTGTAGTTGATAGTTTCAAGGAGGTGTCGCACTTCACATGTATTGGTAGGGACACATTTTTTTAAAAGTTGAATTTTGTTTAGGGTCTGCTTTGAAGCCGGAAGCAAAAAAAGTGTGCCCGAAGAGGCAGAGCTCTTTCTGTGCGAAGAGGCATTTTTGGGGGGTTAACCGTGAGGCCAAACTCTCTCAATCTCTGGAGTGCAGACTCTAGAGGACGGTCGTGTTCCTCTTTCGTCTTGCCAATTATATGTATGTCATCACCTATGTTCAGCACATGATATATTCCATTTAGAGCTTGCCTAATGGTATCCTTGAAAATTTCGGCTGCTGCATTGATTCCAAACATGAGTCGTTTGTGGCGGTGAACTTTGTTGTGAGTTGCAAAGGTAGTAATTACTCTACAGTCATCGTCAAGCTCTAGTTGATGGTATTTGTCTTTTAACTACTGTTTTGTAAAAGTTTTTGCACCATTTAACGCTGCTATGCTTTCATCGATGGTGGGGCAAACATGCTCCCGATGGATTGCGCGATTTGATCATCTCATATCAATGTATAATCGAATATCCTCCGGGGTTTCTGGTTTTGGCACAATTACGGCTGGTGATATCCATAAAGTGGGTCCTGATGCTTCTTGAACTATGTCAAAAGCAAAAGGCTGGTTGGTCTTTTCTGCTACTTTGCTTCGCAGAGCAAACGGGAGGCGTCGGAATGGTTCGGGCACCTAAAGGACGTTTTCATCAATATAAAGAGGTACTAGGAAATTTTTGAGTTTTTCAACGCTCTCACACAAATCGGGAAGATCGACCAGCAGTGTCTCAGAAGGTCTTGAAGGTATATATCCGTGCACAGTTCGACGCCATGCGTTATTTTGATGAGATGCAGTCTGCTGGGCGCCGCGAAGCTTAGCACGGATTTCATGGCACCCTCCATTACAAATAGTTATTCTGTTGTGTGGTTATCTCTCTGAGATAAAATGACAGTGAGTTATTTCGTACATCATTTCAGCTGTCGTGCAGCATTGTCCGCAACCGGCTACACGATCCGGGACTCGGCAGAAAAGGCTAGCGCCGCGCATGCGCATTAGTTGCGTCGTCGTTCCGGAGAGTGTAGCGAACGTGAGAAAACGATCTACTAAAACTTCCTATTATGCAGTTATTTCATAGCTTTATCACAGGCTACCAGCACGGCAACACCCTGGTGCGCGCTGAGAATTATGCTTCAAATGTGCAGCGCGATCTTTTGGTCGCAATGCCTCACTTCACAATACTAAAACTATGCAAAACTGCCAATTAGTAATTATTGCGCAGGTTGATGACGTGTTGCAATCCCCTAAATGCAAGAGTGTGTGCAGTGAGTTGTGAGACACAGAGACATGAATACTGCGAACGCTGCATTACCGTGGAGCTTGAAAGTCATCATGCGTGACTCACGTTTTAGAGCACTGGTGACCAGTTACAGCGCAAACACCACAATATTTTCACCACCCAAAAGAACTATTTTGCTACATAATGTTGTGACCGGCTCCCAAAACACCCTCGACTTCCAGAAAGCGTCACGAGCTTTCTGTTCTTTTTTTTTCTTCTAAAAAACAACATTCTTGTTTTTGTAACGTACGTCAACACCTTCGTCACCTGTGATACCCTGCCGCACTGACGGTTTAGCATTTGTAGCAAAATAAATTAATTTAAGCGCAATTGGCAGCGTCAGCGAGCAGGCGCATGAAAAATCGATCCCCGTCTCCTCCGCCATCTTTACACCCACTCACGTTTACAAACAAACCGGAGCGCCCCTAGCGGACGCCACCGGCGCCGCGCATGCGCGATGGAGTGTGGGTAAGAAGCTCGCCGTCGCCCATAAACAAATTATTGAAATGCAATGTTGTCGGCGTCGGTGTGAGTCCCCCTGTCCTTTTTCACGTTCGAATTGTTGGTTCTACGTCTTCCTGGCAATGTCTGACTGCTTGAGCGGCCTCAACGAAATTACCGAGACTCGTTACACGGCAAATCTTCGCGTGAATAATGGGACATACGGCTATTTATTGCGCGTGGACGCCGCAGAATGTACGCTAAAGCCTGATTCGCATGTTGAGATTTCGCTCGCAATTTTCAATCGCGACGTCGCTCGGGCTGCAAAAATGTGAGCCGTAGATGAGATGGTCAACGTCGATACTGAAAATCGCAAGCAGAATCGGACGAAGTGAATTAGGCATAACAAGTCAGTGTTGGCCACTGGTACCAATAATCAACATCTCCTTGTATCTACTGTTTATATCGAGCCTGCTTACAAACCTTCAAACTCAATTCGTTTAAGGCCTGAACT